GCCCAGGACCAGGGCGGGGCGTGGGCTCGGGCAGTGGGCCCTGCACCCTGGGTCCCAGCCGGGGCCCCGTGGGCCCCGCACCTGAGTGCAGCGCCCTTCGCAGGAGCGGGCACGGCACCAGAAGGGCAGCGCCCCGGAGCTGGCACCCGCCCAGCTGAAGCCCAAGGTCAAGAGCAAGGGGCTGCCCGCCGGCCTTGGCCCTTTCCGGCGAAAGGAGGCTGCTGCGGGTGGGCGCATCCGGAAGAAGCTCTCCCGGGCCAAGAGCGCCACGGCGGCGGGGGCGGCCCGGCTCCCACGGCCCGAGGGCGGCAGCAGGGAGGTGCCCAGGCTCCAGGGCCAGCCAGCGGGGGCCCGCAGCACAGGCAAGTGGTGGCCTGAGCGCCGCGGCTAGGCCCGCGGATCTGGGGCCACAGGACAGGTCCCGGGGGCCAGGGCTGCGCCCCCAGCCGCGCGGGCTCGAGGGAGGAAGGGGCCCAGCGGGCATCCTGGAGGGCGGTAAAAATAGCCACGCGCCTCCCTTCCCACGGCCTCCGCCAGGCTGACCTGGGCCTGCCTGGCCCCAGCCAACCCTGTGCAGGACGACGCTGGACGCCTCCCCGTCCGCAGCCTCGCCCGGGAGTTCTCGCTCCAGGACAGGAGCCTGCTGGGCGGCGGGGCAGAGCGGGCGGGGCCAGCAGAGGTCACAGCGCCCAGGGCCCGAGATTCAGGGCCTGCGGGTGGGAAAGGAAGGCAAGGCGCCCAGCCGACCCCCGCGGCGGCACACTGGGCCCCGCGGCCCCCAGCAGCCGGAGGATGCAGGTGTGGGCGCCACTCAGACCCCCGACACAGACACCCAAGGAAACGGTCCCCCCAGCCACGTGGCCTGTCCCGCGCTCCCCAGGCAGCGGCTACGACAGTGAGGGCTGCGGGCGTCTCCTGGGGGCAGAGGCCCCCGCCCAAGAGCCGGGGCTGGCGCCGCACCCTGGTGCACCGGGGCCCTCGCCCTCCTCCGTGGTCAAGATGGAGGCCAACCAGAAGGCCAAGAAGAAGAAGGAGAGGCAGGGCTTACTAGGTAACTGGGCAGCGGGGCGGCGGCCGCGGCCGGCCAGGGCCCCCTCCCACGGCCCTCCTTCCGCAGGGGCCTGCCGCCTGTCCAGCCCGGAGAGTGAGGTCAAGATCAAGAGGCGAACGGCCAAGGCCGCGGGGAGCGCCCGGCTAGAGCGGCCCCCGGGGGCGCCCGGCAAGAAGGCCAAGGGCCAGGCCAGAGGCGGGCTGCGGGCAGAGCCGGGGGCCGCCCCCAGCAGGGATGCGCTCTTCGGCCCGGCCCGGGCCTTCTGCCGTGAGGAGGGCAGCAAGCTGGCCAGCGAGCGCCTCAAGAGAGCCACCCGCAAGAACACCCTGCTGCAGCCCGGACTGCGGGTGCGGCCCCGGCGCCCGTGGGCGGGGGCGGGGGGCCGGGCGGCCCCGGGCTTCAGCCTGACTGGCCCTGGGCCGGCCACGACTGCCCACCCCCCCCACAGCGCAAGAACGGAGCCCTGTCCGTGGCCCTGTCGCCCCGCAACACCAAGGCCATCCTGGGGAGCAGGAAGCTGGGCAAGGCGAAGGGCAAGGCCGCCGGCAAGCAGGTAGCGCCCCGTAACCCCAGAGCGCCCGGCCGCCCCGCCCGGGCCCAGAGCTGACCCCCCCCCACCCCCGGCTTCAGGGCCAGGGCCGGGCGGTGAGCCGGCTGCTGGACAGCTTTGCGGTGGAGGACGACTTTGCCTTGGACGACGACAGCAGCTTCTCGGAGGAGGACGCGGCGGCCGGCGGCCCCC